GACCCTCTTTTGATTTTGTAGGATGTCCAACAGTCTCTACGCTCTACAGAAGAAAATGAATGGTTACAAGGACCATTTACAGAAGAGGAAGTGCTAGTGATCATCAAACAATGTAATGACGCTAATGGATTTACAATGGATTTCTTTAAGAAATGTTAGGATATTTTGAAAGAGGACTTGATGCTGAGTATTCAAAACTTCCATCCGAGGAGTGTGTCCGGAAAATCATTAAATGCTACATTCATAGTCTTAATTCCAAAGAAACCTAGTCATCTCCAAGTTGCTGATTTGAATGAAGGCACTGATAAGCAAAGTAGTTGATGAACACCAAATGGCTTTTTGGGAGGTAGGCTAATTATGGATGCAATTGTTGGCAATGAATGAGTCGACTCCATGATAAAGCACAAGAAATCGGGAATACTTTGCAAGCTAGATATTGAGAAAGTCCATGACCATATTAATAGGAATTTGCGCCTACAAATTCTAAAGGACATGGGATTCGGTAGCAAGTGGATTAGATGGATCAAGTATTGCATTTCAAGTGTGAAATTTTCCCTCATCATAAATTGTAACACTGTAGGTTTCTTCCAATCACAGAGAGATCTTAAACGGGCAGATCCTATGTCTCCGTTTCAATTTTCAATAGCCATGGAGGGGTTAAATCATATGGCGAAGGAAGGTAAAGACTAATGGGTGGTTGAGAGGTTACCGCACATTCTGTGAGGGTGGAGCTGGAGATCACACACTTATTTTATGCTGATGATGCTCTTATATTTTGTGAGGAAGAGGAAGCACCAATTAGTCACTTAAGGGCTAAACTCACTTTTTTAATGCATTTCAGGCCTCCATGTCAACTGGCTGAAGAATCATCTCTTCCGTATGAACCATGTTGACAATTTGCTTAGGCTAGCTAAGACATTGGGTTGTCAAAGGCGCACTTAAGCCCTAAAGTGAGACTCAAAACGTGTTGAGCGCTTCACCTCGCTTTATGTGCGCTTCGGTGTCATCATCAAGGTTCTAAGGCATGCTTTTCCTTGCCAATGAGCCTCTCTTGAAGAGGTGACACCAAAAAATTGATATTTCACTTTATCATAAATTATTTTCAATTTCTTTGGTCATATATTTGTCATTCATGTTCATAATTATTAGTGTTGGACTAAGCATATATATTTATATTTTTTCTCCCTAGCACCTTTTTCATTAAAGCCCACATTTTATGGACTTTGCGCTTAAAGCTCCAACAGACCTTAGAACTTTTGTGTTTTTTGCCTTTGATAACACTGATAGAGAAGAAGATCAACAAATTGAGGGATCTTTTTGACAAGTTGAGAAGGATCTTTTTGTGGCAGGATAACAAACACAAGAAAGGTTATAATATAGTCAGGTGGCATATTGTGAAACTTAGCAAGAAACACGGTCAAAAATGGGGATTAAGAATCTGAACTTCCATAACCAAAATATTCTACAGAAATGGATTGGGAGGTTCTGCAATGAAGATAGGTCCCTTAGAAGTACATAGCACAAATATGATGTGATGAATCACTAGGCAACTAATGAAGTGAAGATCATTGGAAACCTGAGCACAAAGGTTGGTGATAGGGCAAAAACTTTCTTTTGAGAAGATCATTGGATTGGGCAAAGTAGTCATAGAAATCTACTCCAGGATTTGCACCTTATCCGTCTGCAAAAAGATAATAAAGAATCCCACGTATGGATCGAACAATGGTGTAAACTTTTGTTTAGGATAGCTTTAAATGATTGGGAAATTACTAGAATTGCAGATCTGCTACTGGTGTTAAATTCCTTTCCAGGCACTACTATTGTTCTAGACAAACCAGACTGGTAGTTATACAACAAAGGGATGTTCACTGTTAATCAGTGTATTAGAAGAAAAACAAAGTTGATTACTTTCATGGATTGGCCAAACTTACTAACAAAATCGACATTCCAACTAAGGTCCCCATGTCTTGTTTGGTTGGTAACAAGAAAGGCTTGTTTAACACAAGGGCTTTTACCAACAAGAGGTCTACATATATGCTCAAGATGCCTCTTTTATGGTGAAGATGCAGAAAGCAATACACATCTTTTTCTACATAGACAGACAACTGCAAATCTGTGGTACATGTTCTTTTGTATACTAAGAGTTACCTAGAACAACTCTTGAACTCTTATGTAATTGGAAAGAAATTTGCACAAGACATGTGTACGTAGGACGCAGGTGTTTATTTGTTCAATTTTATACAACTTTAAGTCTACATGTACCCGTCCAAAATTGAAGAGCAAAAATCACACCAGAGACCAATTTAAAAGGCATATTTATGTATTATGCCATTAATTTTTGTTTTGTTTCGCATTTTGTTGGTGCCGGGGAAAATTTCAACGAAAAAAAACACACATTAGGAATTTGATTTCGGATCTAAAAAAAGATCAATTAAACAAAAACATCCAAACATCAAGTAAACTAACAAAGTCATTAGGAATTTGATATTAAATTACAACAATAACAACAATACCAAAGAAATTGTTAATAAATCACCAAATCAAAAAAGAAAATCTATGAACAAATTGAAAATCAAGGAATATAGAAAGATATCACCAACAAAACCCAAAAAAAACAAAAAAAATCTCTAAAAATTCCAATCAAACAAACAAAAAAGGATCAAGCAAGAAAATATTTGAATCAAAATTTTTTTACCTCTCTCGACGTAAGCCATGGTTCGTTTGAGCTTTGTTGAAGAATCCAGAAAATTCTCAACTTTTATCAGTGGTATCCTCTCTCTATTTCTTACGTCGGTTCAGCAAATAATAAATTGCCACGTCATTAAATTTTCCTTAATTTTATTTTTTATTGTATGGTACTATGGTATATAATAATAATAATAAATTTGTAATCAAATTGGTTGTTTCTTTTTCTTTTTATACTTATATTTTGTATTTAAGTCGATATGTGTGACATTATATAAGAATGAAAAATGATATAATTTAATAATTTATTTATTATAATTATATAATAAGATATATTATAAAAGAGTGTGTTTGATATTTCGTTATTGTAAGGTTAAAAATATTTATTTTTGAAAAAATATGGTATTTGTCCGTCAATAAAATTATTTTTAAATAGAAGTATAAGCAGTTGAAAAGGAGTTAAAAAGATCTTGTTTCTTAAAAAAATACAAACAGAAAATTATTTATCCTAAGATCAAAATATATTTTTTATATATACATAATTTTCAGTAGATCTCCTATATTTGTTTATTTTTGTGATGAACTTTTTGTATGTAGTGATTTAATTTATGATATTATTTTTAAATTTATTTTTTTTGATATTTTTAGTTATATTTAAATTATTATGTTAATATTATAATGATATTTAATTTATTTTTTTATTCATGTCTGTACAATATTAATTAAAAATTTGAAATGTGCATTTTAATTGAATATAAATAAGTATTTAATTAACAAAATTATATTAGATATTTGAAATACTCTTAATATTAAAAGTATATCAATTTGTCTTTTTTCATAGTTTAATTTTTAAAAGCATTTTTTCTAAAAAAAATAGTCAAACATAGTTCGCTTATCAAAAACTTTTTTAAAATGAATTGGCCAAAGAAAATTTTTAATTTTTTTCAGAATTGCTTTTCTGAAAAGGTATTTTAGAATATTTTTATAAATAAGCATTTTTTTAACTCAAATACCAAACAAGCTCTAAATAATAGCCAAACAAATGATGTAATTCACTAATAATCACTTTTTAAATTATTCAGATACTCCAAGAATTCTTTAAAATTATTTTGATTTCAAAACACTAAATAAGTCGATTCAAAAGTAAAGTCAAACTTTATAAATTTGAATAAATTAATTACTCTAGAATTAATTTTAGATATATGAGATTGATATTATAAAAAATTGTATATGAATTATTAATGTTTCCACAATTTGACATGTTATTTATGCAAGTGAACTTCAGACAAATGCAATTACAGTTTGATTTACTACACATTTCTGTATTTATCTTAAATTTAACTCTTTCAATGACTCAATTTTATGGAAAAAATCAAATTATAATTTTCTAATAAGTCCTAACTACATTATAAGGTAAAGTGAAAATAATTTTATATAGGGAAAAGACTCAAATATGCCATTAAACTTTCAGAAAAATGCTTATTTATGTCATCAGTTAAAAGTTTAACTCATTTACGTCATTACCGTTAAAGAAAAGACTCATTCATGCCATTATGTTTTAACAGTGGTTTTGCAAAACCATTTTTAACACGTGACCAATTATAATTCGGCCACGTCATCAATTCTTTTAATTAAAAAAAAATTAATCCAATTTTTATTCAGAATTTTAATTTTTTTTATTAAAAAATTGATGACATGACCAATTATAATTCAGACAGATCATCAATTTATTTAATATAAAAATAAAAAAAATTAATTCAATTTTTTTTCAGAATTATGATTTTTTTTCATTAAAAAATTGATGACATTACAATTGGTCACGTGTCAAAAATGGTTTTGCAAAACCACTGTAAAAATAATGGCATGAATGAACCTTTTATTTAGCGGTAATGGCATAAATGAGTAAAACTTTTAAAGAATGACATAAATGACCTTTTCTGAAAGTTCAATAAAATATTTGAGTCTTTTCCTATATACAAGTGTTACTACTAATACAAATAAGAAAAGATTTAAGTGAAAAAAAAGATAATACACCCCTGAACAATTGTAAATGATATTTCTAGGACTATACCAATGTGTATTGGTTTGTTTAGAACTAAGTCCTAAATATTCATTCAAACACATTTTATTGCCGCGTGAAGCGCGGCCAAGTTCCCTAGTCAATATATAAGTTGGAAATTAGAAAGATGATGTTATACGTCTCTCAAGTCTTAAGTATATTCCTATTATATTAGTTGTTTTTATATTCTTGAGCTTATTATTTTAATGCTTAGCTTCCATTTAATACATCTATATTTTCATTGAACAAAAAGATATATGGAGTAAGAAATTCTATTTTCTAAAGCGAATGAGTCCATACTTATCGTCTAACTGATTACAAAATGGGAAGGTCGATAAATGTATGTGGTTTGTCAAATCCCTTCTCAACTTGTCTAAAATTGTTGTATTAGAATTTACCAGATTCTTGCTAAATCACTAGTTCTTGGTACAATATTTGGACTACATTAGTCTACTCTTTGGACGACCATATACACTTGTGTGTGTATTGAGAGTCACCATTACATGGATGTCATTTTTAAGGAACACATGTTACCTTTTGCCAAACCTTTTTCCACAGTTCATGACAAGGGAGTGATGTATCTTCTCATGATCTTGAGTCTCTTCACATTCCTGAACCACATACAAGAGCAACAGATAAACAAGAATGAGATTCCTGGCATTGAGGATGTTGCAATATCAAAGGAGAGCGGTACAGATGAGACACTTGTTGAATCTATAGGTGGTGAGAATGCAACACATATTGCGGAGGTATCTGGTGAAGCAGATGTACACATGTTGAACGTCAATCACTTCAATCTGGTTCTGTTGAAGTCAAAAGAACTGATAGAAATATCAAAGAGCCATTGTGGCATCAAGACTGGTTGTCGTTTGGTTAGAAACAAGTTATCCCATGATAAGCTATCCTCGATAACTTATCTCATCATGTATATGGGATAACTTATCCCGTCACTATGATATAAATGGTGGGATAAGTTATCCCACACATGGCAACCAAACAACATGATTTTTTTTATCCCATCACTATTATTTTTAATCCCTCACACCAAACGAGAAGAATGCTAATGGAATAGTCCTATAACCATTATTAGACTGTCTTTCATACTCTTATAAAGCTCAAAAACTATGCAGAAGCTTCTAAGAATCAAATATGGATTGAAGCCAAGAGTTTGGAGATAAAGGCATTGGAAGAAAATAGTACATGGGAACTAGTGCATCTTCAAGGGGAATTTTTTTTTTAAAAACCTATATACATTTTTTTGTATTTTTCATCAGCAATTCACTTGATTAAAGCTTATAGATATTAAGAAATTTTGTCTATAATCCAAGAATTATATCTACCACAATAAGGTTAGTCACAGATATAACTTGGAAACTGATGAAAAATTCTTTACTTATTGTATGAAAAAATAAAAGAGAGAAATATCATTATGTTTTTTATAAGAAAAATAAAAAAAGGTGAACCAGACTGATGAATATGCATTAGATTTGATTTGGTTTGGTTTTGATTTTACCCAAAACAATTCCGAATGCACCAGTTGCCAAAACGGCAACTATGAGATTTGTACCTTAGCTACTACCAGAGGTTGGAGTGTGTATCAAATGGATGTATACAATGCATTTTTGCAAGGAGATTTGTATGAGGAGGTGTATAAGGAGCTGCCTCAGGGATTTAGAAGAGAAGGAAACATAATGTATGCAGATTAATTAAGTCCTTGTATGGTTTAACCAGGCATCAAGGCAATGGAACATCAAGCTTAGTGAAGCTTTAACAAATGCAGGATACAAGCAGAGTCGGCATGACTATTCCCTATCAGCTAAGCAGCAAGGACAGAAGTTTGTAGCAATTTTGATCTATGTCTATGATCTGATGATTACTGGAAATAGTGAATCAGAAGTTCTAGATTAGAAGTTCACTTCAGTTGAATATGATATACATGCAGGGATGAGAGGTTATGCAGTGTTAGAAGACATTACTGAATATAAGACTGATAGGGAGATCAATTTACTTGGCAGTTACAAGGCCAGATATAGTGCTCAGTCAGTTTATACAAGTATATAAGATGTCTCATAGGGAAGCAAAATTGAGAGTTGTGGATACATCAAACAAAGTCCAAGAGTGGGGATTTTGCTAAGTAACAAAGGTGAAGATCACCTGACATGTTTCTGAAATGCAGATTGTACATCATGTTCAAACACTAAAACATGAATGACTGACTGACTATGTAGAGAATTTCGGTGAATCATTGATTTCATGGAAGTCAAAGGAGCACACAGAATCAAGACTTCTTGCTGAAGCAGAATACAAGAGTTTGGCAAGAGCCACTTCAGAAGTTTTTTGGTTGTTGGGCCTGTTTAAGGAGTTGGCGGGTGAACATCATAACTCTAGTAAATGTTTACTGGGATTGTAAGGCTACTTTGCAATAGCAGCAAATCCCATTTTCCATGAAAGGACCAAACATATAGAAATTGATCGTCACTTTGTGAGAGATAAGGACAGGGAAGGCGGAATTCAACCAAGGATCAACAGATTGATTTGTTAACTAAAGGACTTGCATATGCTCAACCTTTTGAGCAAGCTTGGACTTTTAAACATTCTACACCCTATAGCTTGAGGGGGAGTGTGAGAGTTTACAAGCTGAGGAATTGTTAAATGTTAATTACAACTACGGTTAGCTGGCAGTTGAAGTTAGGTGGACTTAACGGATAGAGTTAGTATGTATAGCTGTCAAGATAGAAAATACATCTATGTACTGGGATCTATACTGGTTATGATTCATCTCGGTTGTAATTGAATCAAAATGCTTGAATGGATAGTTCCATGTTCTCTCTCCCTTTCTCTCTAACATTTCTGTTTAGCTCCTGTTCACTGCATCTATGAACGTGTTCATGTAGAATTGAGTGCGTGATTGGTGAAATTCATAACATGTATGAAGTAACCAATGAATGCAAGACATGAATCCGTTTAAATAGACATTTGCCAGTTAAAGTATGTACGTAATGTTTCAAAAGTATGAAAACGTTTTCACAGAGGAACTTATTCAAAGTCCCTCCAACACTGAATTCTCCTGGGACCTTTTGGTGTTTATTCTAATTCCCTTTCGCTGATCTTTAAGCATGATGTCATTACACTAATTTGTATACCACACAATGAGTTAATGAATTCACTAACAAAATTTATGCTAACCTCAATCTATGACTCATATTATCAATTCTATTCAGTAAGTTCAATGACTCAGAAATTAGCAAATTGTTTAGCAGAGAGAACTGAGTTGCAGTAACATTTAAAAGTAGTTTTACAATGTTGAGTAGATACCCGAAAGCACTTTTTCAACTCAAACTTTTTGGTCCAAAATATTAACACTAAAATGTTTTCCTTTCAACTTGGTACCAAATATAAAAATGAAAAATGAAAAACTAGAACAAAAGGAAGACAAGAATAACAAAAAGAAAAGTACAATATTTGCCACTAGAGTCTATTAAAGGGTATACCATCAAGTTTCGTCAATTTTAATTTTTGAACGAGAGCAAACACTTGGTCAAGTGCTTTAAATAAGAATGTAATTTTTATATCTTGAGCACCAAATAACACTAGCAAAAATTTGTTGTTTCTCTTTAATTCACCTTTGGCAAAAGCACTGCCACACAAAAAACTATGTTAACCAACTAGCGTGAGATAATCAAATCTGAAACTCATCAACCGTGTCAAAAATCAATAGAGAATGTTGGAGGAGATCTCTTACCTCTGATAATGAAAAGAAGTTTTGATTTGAACTTGGAATCATCGATGTTTTCCAATCGTTTTATACCAGTTGCCCATCTGTCCATGTCCTCTTTCACTTCCCAGATTTTGCTTTCTGCTTCCCAGTCCCAAACTCTCTTAATGGTCGAGAATAAATCTCCATCAGACTTTGTGTTGGTACTTGAATGCTAAGTGATAAATTCAACAGAAACAAGACAAAGTATATTAGAAACTAGTTCATTCAACCAGCAGAGTAAAAATTATCTTGGAGTTGTCATGCTATAATCCTAGGCCAATTACCACGTTTCATAAGTTTTAGATGTGAAATGCTTTTATAAGGGTGCCTAAAAGAGTGAAAATGATCATGATGACAATCTCACATTATAGATGTAACATGGAAAATGATCTTCAACTGCGGAATTATGGGTAAAGGAGCTGACAAACTATGATTTTGTTGTACGGATTTGACAAAGATGATTCATCTCATTGAGTTTTGTAGAGGGAAAATGCACTGAACAGAATTTAAGATCAGAATTAAAACGAAACTGGAAAAAAAGATGTACTTCTTTAATATGTCGATTAAAAAATACTCTGTATTTACCTCTTTGGAGAAAGACGATATAACCAAGGACCCATCTGGATGATCCAGGCTTCCAGAATTAAATCTGAGATGTTGTTTTACAGCAATGCTTGCCATCTCTACATCAAGAAATCCGAATTCCACCATCCTTTTCAGAACTCTAGCCTGGAAAGTTTTTCCTCTGAGGATATCACATCAAGGTTAATGTTTTCAGACAAGCAATAGAATGCAGAAGTACCGCACAAGAACACCATAAGTACTCAGGACCAGAAGAAGCTACGTCCAACAGGGAAAAATAAGTTACAAGTTTCTATGAGCTACAACCTGCTACTGTCCCTGAATGGTGACCGGAGCTCTGGCGCTGGTATCATTGCTGCAAGCATAGCACATTCTCCCAAGCTAAGAAGGGATATGTGCTTTCCAAAATACAATTTTGATGCAGATTGAATACCAAAAATACCATGTCCCCAATATATCTGTTTTGCCTTATGCTCTGTTAGAATTCACGCATAACCAGATGAAAACCAAATAGTTACAGGGACAAACATGAAATGTATATCCACTTGATAATATAGTTGAAATATCATTTAGTTGATTTTTTTAACCAAGAAAGGTCAATTTACTTTATTCAGTTTTATCTCCTTCCCAGGCTCCACAACTGGACCATAAACAAGTTGATCTAATGAAAAAATAAATTAATATGAAGAAAGAAACAAAGGCAAAATGCTTTTATTTTCCAAACGCTGAAGTAATTTGTGAATGAAGTTATGAGAGCAATAAATAAAGATGTACTTGACCTTACACAAATAAGCACTCAAGATTTCCATTTTCGAGATTGTTCCCTCGAGTGCTAAAGCCAGAATCATCTCAACAGTTTTCCTCAAGACTGTGCGTTCATTCTTCAAGAATGAGATTCTGACAAGCTGCCAAGGGTAAGTAGATTACAATGAATAAACAAAAATACACAACTTGAAAAAGAGTCTAACAACACAGGCAAAAAGCCAAACCCTTGCCCCACCAATCAATAGAACCAAATGGCAGGTTAATAGTGAGAATAAAGAATATTCTACCTGGTAGACAATATCATTTTTTAAGCAGAGACGCAGAAAATTAAGATTGACACAAGTATCAGGGATAATGACGTGAGAAGCAAACAAAGAATCAGTTTACACCATAATGAAATTTACAATTAGTTCTCCAAGATGACTCATCAGACTGGTGCTTAATATTACTTTTAGCATGTATCTAAGACCAAAGAGGAAACAACAGTTTGGAAAAAGAACAAGTAGAAATGGGAATTCTGATGTCTCGTATTCAGATAATGGAGGCATTTTGAAGAATTGAAAACAACAAATATAAAGAAAAGGAAGAAGAAAAAAGAGTAGGAATTTTAGTGGTATAGAGGTATTTTTTGCCACATACATGAAACTTTAGTAATGGTACAAACATGATCTCAACAAACTGAAACAAAATTTTGAATTCCTGATTAATAACAATGGATGGAGAGCCTGTTTGTAGGATGGCAATGGGGCGGTGCGGGTTGAGCTTAACCCGCAAAATTTTTAATCCGTTCCGCTCCACATAACAACTCTTTTCATTTTCAAACCGCCTTGCATGAACCCGCCGCACAAAAATTTTTTAATATTTTCTTTTTCTAGTTATATTTGATATTAAAAATAAAAATTTATGAAAATAAATTCATTTTTTCATTAATTTAATAGGATAGTGACTTAAAATTTTATTTTTTAGAGGTCAATTGGGAAACATGTAAGAAATTGTATTATTTTTTATTGAACCATTTTCATTTATTATCTTGAATATTTTAGTAGCTTTAATGAAATTATCTTAATAAATAATGCTCTATCACTCTTATAACATGTAAAAAGTTAAAATAAAGTTTGAACCACATAAAATCACATATACCCGCAAACCGCCCCGCCGTCGCAAATTGGATATGAGAAAGTAGTCACCGAAAAATTGGCATTGTGCTACACAAATCAAATATGGGAAAGTAGCCGACGGAAGGATGCACTGTGCTATGCAAATCGAATATGAGAAAATAGTCACACGAGAGATGGTTCGGTGTTACACAAATCAAATATGAGAACGTAGTCACCGAAAAGCTGAGGAGTGCTACTTAGTATCGAATGCTTCTCAAATCAGTCATTCTCAGCATGATTATTTTTCATGTGTATAGTATTGCCCCAACATTTGCTAACATAATCATTGGCCAGACAAGCATATATATGAGTAATAAACACCTACCGGCTACAGAAGCTTTTTTTAATTATTATTCTCTACTAGGGTCTTGGAAGATTTGATACCATGTGAGAAGTATTGAAGAAAAATATTATTGAATTTGTGTATGTACATTATTACATTGAGACTCTATTTATAGACACTGCATTAGACTCCTTTTCCAATTAGGAAACTACATTACAATCCCTTTCCAAGTAGGATTTAATTTATTTCCTATTCTAAGTAGGAATGTAGGATTGTGTATACTATTCTTGTTCTTATTCCTATTCTAGCAAGTTGGATTTCCTGCAAGTGCACCAGATGAGATTCAGATAGGGACAGTTGGAAGGAAAGTACCCTTTGTGCTCTATGAAAAAGAAAAAGGGAAATGATATTTTTGCAACAAATCTAGAGTAAGCACTTAGCAGCAGTAACTCCACTTAATTCTCATTTAACTAAGAGATTGGGTTATTGAATTCCTAAATGAATTGTTATATTGTGTGGCATTTTCCACATTTAAATGAAGAATAATAAATACTTCAGCATAAAGTAAGATCCTTTTCCTAATTACTGGGGTTGGAGCCTTGGAGGGTGGGTGAAGGGAAAAGGGATGGGTCATAGTGGAGGTGTCAGGATGAGACACACATTTCTACATTGAACGAGGAAGTCATAAGAAGGTGCTATCTATTTTCAATGGAAAAAATCAGACTATCATGAAGGTGAAGCTCATCTCTCACTCTTAGGACCACCTATATCTCACTACTAAAACTAGAAAAAGCTACTGTTGAAGAACCTCAAAGCTGATATAGAATTCTAGGTCTCATTTGAATGGCTGTCAAGTTTTAGATGTTCCACACCCAAATCTACTGTTGCTTCTTTTTTACCAAACGTACTCTGCAAGCCAAACAAACCTCAACATAAAACCAAGTTACTCTTATTTTTGAGTACTTAATATAGCCCAGACATAGCATCCTCCATGCCATTCTATAAAATTCTCCCACTAAATTATCTTGGTTTTAGTTTATGCAGTATTAGTTCTTCTCTAGTTTGTTTTTGACTTTTTTGGTGGAAGGAGTAATACTTTTAAACCTGATCAGATACTGAGATTAAAGACTGTCTTGCACCATTTACAGGACACAGACATCAAACACATTTGTATTTAAGATTGAACCAAGAGTTAAGAATGGAATGCATTCCCTTTCAGAAATTCAACTTTCATGTTTCTACATGAGTAACCTAATATATATTTGGACTACAATTTACAAGTTATCTGCACTCCACTTCTATAGAATATGCTTTATCTTGGACCAGAGATCTGTTGGGACGAAATATAAGAGAAGTAAGCATTAGAGACGCTCCAAGAGGTTGTATGAGAAGTATTTGCCTGCGGATATAACATGGCATCAATCTGGCCTCCAGCTTCTTCCACGTTTGATGCCTCTGAAAAACGTCGCCCATAGAAGCGTAAAAAGTTAAGAGATTCCATTCTTGGTGCAGTCGGTGGTATCTCGCCCTCTAACATGCTAACAACACTAACCATAGTTGGCCTGAGACATGGCTCCTCATGGACACAGCACAATGCTATCCGCACAAACTTCTCAACATCTCCACCACTGACCCGCCCTTCAAGTTTTGGGTCAGCAAGTTCAAGGTACCTTCCTTGCTCATGCATCTCTAATGCAAATAAAGGGAAATAAACTAGTCCCTGTGCAGATAAAGATGATGAGTGATCTCCAGTGGCACTATCATCAAGGCTGTGACTTAGTGTTCTTAAAGAGCAGTTTTTCCTTCCACTTACAATTTCAAGGAGTACCATTCCAAAGCTATACACATCCGTTTTATCTGAGATTGCAGAACTTGTGAGCCATTCAGGAGCAAGGTAGCCACGAGTCCCCCTCATTGTTGTGAATAGACTGGATTCTTCCCGATTCAGCAGCTTGGAGAGGCCAAAATCAGATATTTTTGCCTGAAAATTATTGTGCAAGAGAATGTTCTCTGGCTTCACATCACAGTGGACAATCTTTTGTTCACAGCCACTGTGCAAGTATGCAAGTCCGCGGGCAGAACCAAGAGCTATTTCAACCCGTTCTTGCCATTCCAATACAGGTGCATGACCAAAAAGAGTGCGATCAAGCGATCCACGGTTCATATATTCATAAACCAATAGGCGTTGTCTCCCTTGGGCACAGAAACCTTTCAACTTGACCAAGTTTATGTGGTGAATATTGCCAATGATTGCAATCTCAGTACAAAAGTCTCTCTGCCCTTGAATGCCTAAATTTATTATCTTCTTTACTGCAACCACAGTGTTGTCCGGGAGCACACCCTTATATATAGCACCAAAGCCTCCTGTGCCAATCTGAGTCTTGAAATTATCAGTTGCAGCCTTAAGCTGTTTGTACTGAAACCGTACAGGTAATCCTGGAATGGAGAAGGCATCCAGGTTCTCTGAAGAAGGAGAACTGGGTTGGCTTATTTTCGATTCTATCTTTCCCATTCTTTGGGGTCTAGATCTTATCCACAAAATGAAACCCAGCGCCATGAGTAGGAAGATTCCTGTGAAAGGTAAGATCACTATTGCAACTAAAGGGAAGTCGTCAGCTTCCTGATCAAAATTATCATTGTTTTCTAAGGTTGTTGAAACTCCAACCAGGGTCTTAACAAATCCCAACAGATCATCATTTCTACTTGTCCTTAACATAATTGACCCTATTTCATCTTGAAGTTTGTAACAAGAACCAGACAAGTTCGCATAAAATATCCCCAAGCATGAACAATCTACTGAGCAGAGATTTTGACAAATGGACAAATTTACCCCATCCCTGAAGGGCTTGGTAAAATCAGTAGTGAAGTAGTCCATACCAAAGCCAAGTCCTATGTACAACATGGAGGAATAATTTGACAGATTGCTGTGGTTCGTGGAATGACAAGAAACTGGCAAAGAATAGGAACTATCACTAGGCACACAGCTGCTTGAATTATGTGATCCAAGATTGAAGTTAGCAGGACAGGAACATTTAGGATTATCTGATAACACATCAGAGGTGCATACACCAAGCCCTCCGCAAGCATAAGGTACTCTACACCCATCCACTGGCCCAACAAAATCTCGTTTAATGTCAGAGCCAACAAAACTAATAACGATCAACTGACCTGAGCCATCCAATTTGGCAATTCTAAAAGTGGATTGTAACAAGTTCACCATTATCACAACTACAGAACCACCTTGACCAAAAAGATAAAGACCTGTTTGATTGACAGACATGTATTCCACTGCATAATTTGAATTAGTATAAGCTTTGGTTTCCATGGACAATTTCCAGTATGTCAGACCTTGCCACTGTAACATAGCATCGGAAGTTGTCAAAGAAAGCCTGTAACGACCCGTTGACAAGTCATCACCTGCTATTGCACTTGAAAGCATCATGCCAACACGCAACTTCTGTCCAATTACAATTGTATCTGTCGGATTATTAAAGCTTTGCCAAAGTGTCCCATTAAACTGATCAAGGAGAAGGAGATTTCCAACCTCAGTTAGCTGCATCGCGTATACTGCTAACTTTAGTGGTGGAGTTGACCATTTAAAACTGCCATCTTTTTCAGTAATACTAATACCATTCTGGGTCAACCTCATGATTCCTGAAGTTGAAACAGGTGCATCACCATTTGCAGACCAGATAATGGTATTGGATTCAGCATGGATAACACATAAATAAAAATTAACTTGTTCAGGACCGGGATTGAAGATAGCAGCTTTGAATGTTCCATTGCGAGAAACCAAGAAACTTCCGGTGCTATCGACAAATTGGAAACTGGAAGCGGTAAAGTTGGGATAGACAAATTCTGTCAACGTAAAACCAAAGACAGGAATACTGGACAAAGATAAAATGAGAAAGAATAAAATGAACTCCATATAGAGTAATGATGAAAGAAAGAACAAAAACAGCTTGGCTGGACTTTGTATAGATGAAGCTGGAATTGGTCTACTATTTCTTTCTGCATTTGCTTTTTCATTCTTTCCTCTAAAGCTTATAGTTGACTACATGAATTAACTCTGATTACACCAACTTGATATTGATTGGCGACCAAGTAGAGATATACCATCACATTAGCTGATAGCAACAACTGAGGGCGTAAAATATGTCATTTCCAGCGTCTATGTGGCATTACCGCCTGAATCCATGGTTATTAATAGTATAAGAATATTGAACACTCATGAACCATGACCTCATGATATATTCTCTTAAGTCATTATTCAAATAAAAGGTATCGTTTACTTTAAATTTTATATTCACTTGAGGTGACAATACCAATTTTTTTAGATTAATAAACTAGAGTGGTGGTTTCCCACTACTCTTAAGAAATAACACAAAGTGTGACATGAAATCCTTCTGACCAATTGTAGTATACATAGAGTGATGGTTCAATGATTATTTTATTGAAGACAATTGTTCTGACAGCAACTGTTACCTAAATTAAATTAAGTCTTAGTTAGACCCATCATACACTTGCGCACATTTCTGGCTTTTCTGACAGCTCATTTCTTCTCTAAAATAATCTAACATATGACTATACTTCAATTTAGCATGTCTAACCTTAATAACAACCCACTAAATTATCTAAACTGATAAAAGAATCATATCTATAATTAAAGTAGATGAAAGTTTAACCCATCTTAGAATCTCACATTTTAATAAATCAAAACGATAATTAACATATACAGATCATAATAATTATATCAATATCATATATCATATGCTTTTGTTTAAATAGAAGTAATTTAAATAAATACATAATAATAATGATGTTAGGGGAAATAATAATGATTTATACATACATACATATATATATATATATATATATATATATTCGTGGAACTAACGTGCAAAGCACGTGTCCAGAACTAGTTAAGAATACAAGTACATTTAAAAGTGCTAATTTACTTTGTCAGCTTTAGCTATCCTAGTCTCAATCCCACTAAAACAAAAGAAAATAAAGAAAGAGTTTTGGCGGAAGACAGAAGGTACTCTAAACTTACTTCGTCCGTTCATTTTTACTCGTCACATTTTGTTCATTAGAATTAGTTTGACTCATTTTCAAACCTAAATTAAATTTATTAATTAAATGTTCAAAAATTATACAAAAAATACTATAATAAGTTGCAATATTTCTCATACTAATATAATAAAAAGAAACATCTAAAAATATCAATCAAAATTAACATTTTTGACACTCGAAAAGTGGAGAAGTGAATAAAGGAAGTAATTTTTAACAACACTAAGAGTGTGCTTGGTATGAAGGAAAACATTTTCTGGAAAATGTTTTTCAATTTTTCCATGTTTGGTTGGGAAAAAAGTTTTGGAAAATTTTTCCAAATCAACTCATTTTCCTCAAAATAAAGAACAATGATTTCCCTTCAAAAATTAAGGAAAACATTTTCCATAACTCTCCTCCAATTTCAAATTACATTTTTTTTGGAAAAAACATCAATTTAAAAAAAAATATTTTCAATTTCAAAATTTTCTTTTTTCATCTGATCCCTGACCCTCCCCCCACCGGCCAGCCCCCCCTCCCCCAACTCCACCCCCTCCCCA